ACCATGCGCTGTGGCTGTTGTTCAGTGACACTTTACTCCTCCAGTAGTCTCACAGTGGGCTATTTGGGGTGAGAGGAACCAAAGAAGACGGGTAAGAATAGCATCTGCCCTTACATAAATGCCAACTGCTGCCACTTTTGATGGCGTTTGTCTCTATAGACCGTGTCCCTGGGCCATGTTCATCTGCTGTCCTGCAGGTCTCATTTAGATGTAGCCCATCTCATCACTTGTGACGCAGTGCGGTGGCTTGGGGTCAGCTCAGCAGCGTTGGGTAGGACAGACCGCAGCTTTTTAAGCCGCATCCCAGGGATCTGCTTCCCTGGCTGGCATCCAGGGATGCTGGCACTGTTGGTGTCTCACTCGGGGCAGTGAGACAGAGTTGGCCTTTCCTGACTGCTCATCAACCACAGTATGGCCCCGCTGCCTGCAAAGGGAGGGGTGAGGGTGAGGAGAGGCTGTTGATGGCAACACCATGTAAGCAAAGATATGGAAATCCTGGCCAGAATAAAGCAAGAGGCAAAAATACAGGGGAAAGTCATGGTCAGAGGGCAGCAGAAGAAAGCAGAGTGCCAGTTCAGAACTCTGATAACGTAGTTTAGACCCTACAGGTCTGTATGTGTAGCTAGCCTGGTGGGCTTGTGTTTTGCACTAGGCTGTCAGACTTTTGTTATCCCTGCCTCAAACATAATTAACACTGTGGTTTGCTCTGGAACAAACCAGCAAAGTCACTTGGTGGGGAAGCCTAGATGCCATCTAGATTATCCCTTGCTGCGCTGCAGGCTATCCACTAGTGCAGATCTGTGCCAGATCTGCTTTGGTCACCTGAACATGGCCTGGCAGACCATGCAGCCTTGTTGGGAGAAGCATGTATGTTGTAAGGGCTTGTCCAGGTACAAGGAGAGCTCTTGCACCAGTGAGCTCCCATGAAGTATAGTATGAATGCCAGCTCCCCGTGAAGAGGCTGTGAGGCTGGAGCAGGACCGTGAGCTGTTCTGCATACCTCGCAGGAGCTTTCTGACATGGCTGCTGAACACAGGGTAGATGTAACCTGAGAGACCATGTGTTTTCTGTGACTAACATCTATAATGGCTGTTTTGCTCAATTTATGCAATTTAAGAATGAATAAGGAAAGTCTTGAGCAGACAACCGTAGGCAGATCCCTAAACAAGGTCTACCTGATCTTCCACAAGAGTGAGGTAAGGATGACCCTAGGTTTCACAGTCAACTTCTTGGCTGGAGTCTTCTTGGCTATGATCTGACCATATATCCTGATCTCCTCCCAATTTTTTCAATTCCACTTTCTGAAGAGAGTTAGGCAGTACCACACTTTATTCCTTGAAGGGGCTTTGGTGAGCTAATGCAGTGGGGATAGTTTAATGACCTGGCAAAGAGGTGCAAAAGTAAAAATACCACCTTACTTCTAGGCAGGTAGTGTTAGTCATTGAACATCAGCATCAGTAGGACAGGCTTAATTTGTATTTTATTTTTAGTATTTTCTCCCAGCTGTGGGTGTGAGGTTGCTTTGACTCAGGGCAGCACAGAGAATAGGGAAATAGGTTACACTCAAAGAGAGTTGCCCAGTCAAGAAAATTTGTGGATATACAGGAAATTCTTGTCTCCTAGTACAAGCATCCAACTAAGCGAAACAGCAAATCTGATTGACTGATCCGCTCTGACAGTGCGAGGTGTGTGGAGCCAAGCACACTTTGTGAGTTACGTGTATTTCATCCATAACTCTTGCCAAAGCCTGGAAGAACTGGTGGCATAGTTGCTGGGAGTGGGCTTGCTTGGCTATTTTTGTTGGTTGGTGGGTGGGGTTTTGTAAATCTCAGATGGTTTCAGCCTTTGGGAAAGTATATTCTTTGGGCTGACATGAAGAAATGTGCGGATGGTGGAGGAGAGCTTCAGTAGGGAAGTGTTAGTTCTGTGTGTGACAGATCTGGAAATAGGTGACCACAGGCTCGAGCTGGAAGTGTTACTCGTTGGTGAGTAATGGTTCTGCGTTTCTGGGGGAATATGTTTCAGAACAGCACCTTGTGATGGCATTTCTTTAGTCTGTCTAAACAGAGAAGTCAGCAAGGTCTTGCAATTTTCAGCATAAAACTTGAGATGATAGATGTGAGTTTGGGCAGTTGGTGGGATAATGGAAGAAAACAGAATGATTTCTACAAGGGGCCGAGGGTATTACCCTGCGAGCTTTGTAAAGTGCAATTTTTAGTGAAGTTAGCAAAAGGTTAATTTGCAGGATCACCCTAATTGATACAAATACCACTTAATTTACAGGAAACAATACTTCTGCTCCTCCCTATAAGGAAAAAACATGATCTAAAGAAGAAACACCTGTATAATGAAAGGAGCAGAATATCAGCTTGTTCAGATTTCCTCTTCCTGCTTGTTGTGCTGGTTCTGATGCAGATGTATTCATTCATATTGAATTGCAACAACAGTGTCGCAATCTTAAAAGCCTTTTTTTCTAATGTAACAATCAAACTTGCTTCAAAATTTATTTCAGATGATGAAGGATGTTCAGTGTGTTTTCTCCTGCCTTATTCCATATTGGATTTTTAATTGTCTTCTTATTCCTCAAATCCATTGCTGCTGAATTTCGTGAGAGAAACTAGGGGTTTAGCATACTAGTTGCAGTTCTGTGTAGTGCCTTCATACTTAGGCTACCCTGCTAAAGCTAGACTCCACTGGGTTGCATGTCCCCTAGGTTGTAACCTGATAGTAACAAAGAGGGGGAAAACAGTGTAGCGTGTTACTGACTTCTGCTTGAGATGACAGGAGAAAAAGCAGCATAAAAACTTGAGCTCGTGGGAAATAACAGGCTCGCAGAGGAATGGGGAAAGTTCAACCTGTATGTGATGGCAGTTTGGCTTGCCAAAGGATTGATTGTGTGTAACAGAAGGAAGAGGCCATGAACACGCCTGTCCGTGGCAAGCACTGCTTTTGAAAGGCAATGTATGTTATTCTTACTACAGCCTTCGTTGACCCAGCAGTTGGCAGAGCTGGAGGGGTACATGATGGCTAAGCTGTGCAGCAGCTTTCAAGTAGATTCTTGGTCTAAACAATAACTTTCAAACAAATCTCTGTGTATTTTTTTTCCCCCCTAAATTAGGGGTAGAAATATGGACTCCTGTGCATGTGTTTATAAACAGTTCCTTGCTGCTTTTTTGTTAATTATCAAAACTATCAGTGACCTGGTGAATGAGGGCTGGGATGCATGTGAGCTACCAGTTCAAGTGGAGCTAGGAGAATAATAGCCACTTGATTCCTCCCCCAGCACTTTTAGAGAAGGAAGAGGTACATTTTTCCTTTTTCATCTCCAAATTTGACGTGTTGGGGGTTTCCATGCTTTCAGTGATGTTTAAGGCCTGGGTGCATCCTCTGAAGGTACATTCAGGAGGGTTGGACTAGATGACCCATAGAGGTCCCTTCCAACCCCTACTATTCTGTGATTCTGTGATTCAGAATCAGGGCCCTTTTGTAAGGAAACTCCAACTTTGGTTTTATTTTGTTAGCTTGGTTTCAAAGATAGTTTCACTTTTGTTTCTTTGGTTTCCCAGATCTTCCTGATTTCCGTAGGCTTTGCTGCAAGCACTTTACAGCGTGTCTTTCCAGTCCTCTGGTCTTCTGCAGCAAGACAAGGAGGGGAGGGGCTGGTGCTCTGAGCTCCAAGGGGTGAGAAAGGATCTGACACGGGATGCGAGTCTTGGATCAGGACGTGAAATGACACCTTTTCTGAAGACAATCAGGAAGCCCTTACTAAAACTAAAGCAAGAATAAATAGCGATACATCCTCCCCCTTAGCCTCCCCTTTGCCATCTTGGGCTGGTTGCCATTTCAGGGGCGAGGAGATCCATTAAAGAGACAGAGCAGTGCTGCAACACCACTGATAGCTGTGTGGTTGCTTCTGCAGCCTCCCTGCAAGAGGATCAAGCTGGTGGGACCTGCAGCTTTAACCTCAGGACTTAGAATATCCTCTGAAGCAGTTTCATCAGCACCTGTCCCACTCCTCATCTGCTGTGATTCTCCAGTCTCCTTGGGCCCCTTTGATAGAAGAGGGAGCTCAAGGGAGGAATCACCTGTTTAGCAGTACTTTCAAACAGAGATAGGCTCTGCTTGGGACATGCAGACACACCTGCCTTTGCTAAGGGTTGTGAAGGAAAGTCTGAAAATTATGCCTGTGGCGTGTTCAGGTGTAGTGAATCTGCCTAGTAGGTAGCACTGGAGGTTGCTGCTGTGCTTTGGTAGGCTCAGTGAAATGCCCTGTGAATAAATTCTGATTTGAAGGAGTTGTCTATAAGGAAAGAAAAACAACGTAGCTGCTCACTAAAACCAGCCCACAGTTTGTTCAGTCAGATGCTTTTTACTTCCCTGGGCCAGCATTTGATTACTGTTGACTGTTTAAAGAGTTACATTTTTGTAAGTATTCATGTCATTTTTCAGTACTAACATTTTCATGCTTTGTAGAGAACTGCTTTCTGATTAATTTCTTGTTTATGTGCAGTGGAACTACAAAAAGCTTTAAGTAACAACATTGTAGCTTTTTATTTCCTAAATGTGGTTGCACTGTAAACTCTCCTGCGGGTGTCTTGGGGTAGTCCACCTCTTTATCCATGAACATACCCTGCGAAATAACTGCACAGCAAATTGCCATCAGCCCATCTTCTGTGACAGAAATGTATTTGGCGAAGAGTTCTCCTTCCATGGTAAAGGAGACAGCTGTCGTTGCTGGCTTTTTTCAGTCTTGTGACTGAAGATGTCTGGTGCCTAAAAGTGCAGCCGTTAGAAATGCAGCGGTGGAGCTACCTCTAGCAGGGAGTTTTTAAGTCTTCTGTGTGCTAGAATAGTATGAACTGAAATACCTTACTCTATAAACTGTCAGCACTCTCCCAGTGTCCAGAACTTATAGCTTTGTTCTTCACGTGTTTCCTTCGAATGCGTACTTTCTGTGTCCAAAACTATTTTTACAAAGCTTTCTCCTGTTGCTGTTTCAGACTACGCTGGCACACATCATAGCCAACAGCAGCAAAAAGAATGGCACGAGGTTTGTGACACTGTCGGCCACAAGTGCCAAGACAAATGATGTTCGAGATGTCATCAGCCAGGCCCAGAATGAAAAAAGACTCTTCAAGAGAAAAACCATCCTATTTATTGACGAGATCCATCGTTTCAATAAATCTCAGCAGGTATAGTACTATACCACTTTTTGGAAAAAGGCTTTGTCAGCACTTCCATAAAATTTCCTGCTGTGTCTTATAGCTTGCTTTGGGTTTTTGATTTTAATGTTAATGTTTTTAGTAGATGAATTAGGAAGAAACATAAATATTAAATTCTGTAACTATCTTCGAATCAATGATTAATTATTGTGATTCAGAAGTCCAAGCTATGCTTATAGTTGACTTACGTGCTGGGCTTTGTGACATTTTTCTGAAATATTACTTCTGCAAAGTCATGTTAATAATGTTTCCCATACATGTCTTCATTTCAGTATTCTCCCTGGGGGTAGCATTCTGCATTACCTTTAAAAAAGTCTGGAATGTGAATGTGCCTGGGGTGTTTGTTTGGTTTAGTGTTGTCCCCTCTCTTTGTGAGAAAAGACACCGTGATACCATTAAAAAACAAAACCAGATCATTGTCTTGACATGAAGCTAGAATTCTATATTACAGGTAGCAGTTTCTATATCAAACCATACTCCTGTAGTTTTCTGAGCCATCCTACAGAATTATGTAGGGACTGTGGCACTAAAGATTGGTTCAAAGACTATTTAGAAGTAGGCTCACTGTTTGTTATATTTAGTAAGACAATTTCATGATATCTTACGTTTGCCAAGCAATAAACCACAGTCACATAAACGAAAAGTTTGCAGGTTTTTGACAGTTTCTTTTCAGCTGATAGGGTCATTCTCAGTGCAAGCGTGAGGTACTGAGGTGAACAGCCCGTAACGCGCTGCGTGTGCGAAATTAAATCATGTAGATAGCTGAGCAGATGAGCTGCCTTGTCAGTGAGGTTATTTGTCATACCAACAGGGAACCCGAAGACCCACAAGACACGAAAAACGTAGCCTACTCACATGGGATGTTTCAGGTTGTCATTGATTGAGATCAGCTTTTTCTGCTTCCCTCCCATCTCCAGGACACTTTCCTTCCTCACGTCGAGTGTGGTACGGTGACCCTGATAGGAGCGACCACAGAAAACCCTTCCTTCCAAGTTAACGCCGCTCTTCTGAGCCGATGCCGGGTGATCGTCCTGGAGAAGCTCTCGGTTGAAGCGATGGAGGCGATTCTGATGCGGGCCGTCAGGTCTTTAGGGGTCCAGGTTTTGGGCCAGGGCGACCAGCACGGCAGCTCTGCGACTGGCAGCAGCAGCGAGAGCTCGGAGTGAGTACTTTATGGGCTGCAGGGTGTTAACGCACGCAGCCCGAGGAACTGACCGCCTGCCAGGGAGAGAATGAAGCAGTTGGGGGGGGGAAGAGAAAAACATAGTCGCACTATCTGGATTAGGAGAGTTTTATACTTGGATCTGTAGCTCCTGACTCACCCTCCCAGGATATTTAAATCGGTTCTGCTGCTGAGGATTTGCTGTGGAAGCCTGTAACTGCGTCTTTGTCATGTCCTAATGTGTGTTACTTTTTGCTACTGGTTGTAAAAGCATCGTGTTACCATTAAGTGGTGGATAGGGCATCCCCTCTTAAAATAATTTGGAAGTGCCTGACGAAAGTTTGTTATTTCCTGAGAATTTTTTTTTTTAATAAGATCAGGGAGGATTCTGCTGTTCTTCAGTTCAGGATAAATGCTGAGGGTGTGTTTTATGGTATTCTGTGGGGAGAGGGAGCTATTGCTGTGAGGTGTTAGTAGATTGTTTTCACAGAGACTTTATTTTTCTCTGCTTCTTGTTGTCCCAGCCAGATAGAGTCACATTAAAAAAATGAGGTCCAGGTTTGTCCATAAGGAATGTTGCCTGCCTTCTGAAATGGCTAGCTGGCAAATCAGAATAATGCTTGGCACTGCGTTACTTTCGTGCAAATTATTGCAGTTCCTTCATGTTAATGCTTGTCTGTACTCCAAGTAATTTACAGTGTATTGGCGTGGTGGTAATTGGGCAGGCACTCCATATGAAATAAATGAGGGGGAATCCACTCTGTTCTTTAGCTTTGTCACAGAATGTAAGCACTAAGAGTTGCTAACCTGAATGCTGCGGTCCAGGCAGGGAAGGAAAGCTATTCCCTTTTTATTTTTAGGGTACCCTGCCTCATGGTTTACTCGCTTGTAACTTTTACATGCTGTAGTAATGTGAGTTTTGGACGTAGTAATGTGAATTTTAGAAGCGAGGGCAGTACTGCATGTCAGCCTTAATGTCCCGGCACAGCTGTGGCTGTGGCCGCACCCGGACTGAGGTTGGGAGACTTTCCTTTCTGTGTGGGATTAACGTACAAGGCATAGTTTCAGCTGCAGTTGTTTGGGTTTGGGTTTCGCTAGACCCTCCGTGTCTGTAACCTCCCTTTAGCTAGGGATGATTTACACAGCACGGTGTGGTGCTTCATCAAACTGAAAGAAGTCTGACAGGCAGAGCGTCAGACTAGCACAGTTTCAGAAATCTGTCCATGGAGAGAGAGGGCCCCACCTCCAATGGCTAACGTGGTAGTGAAGCCTTTAAAAATAAAAACAGGGTTCAGAATTTAGGAGCATTTGTTGCACTTGGGTCTTTCTTGTCTTTCCTGTTGCTGCCTGGTTCTGTTCTGTAGTTGATACATATTATTGCTAATGAGTTAGGTTTTTTATAAGCCGTCCTGTCCCTTGCTGTGGTTCCGGTTCACATTCCAGAGCTGGAAAAGGAGCTGTAAGGCAGCATGTCCCCAAATGTGGGATGTGCCCACTTTGAAAATGCTGCAGCCGGAAGGCAGAAGAGATATGTACACTGAATTTTTCATTTCGTTTCCCATGTGAGTCTCCCTTCCCAAAGCACGGAAGTGTAGTGTGGAGTCCTGCATGCGCTGCTTGGCCTCAGTTTATCAGATGGCCTTGGTGTCACATCACTTGTCTGACACGGTGGCTGACCTAGATGAGATTTTCAAGAAAAGAATGATTCTTCATGGTCTTTCAAAGAATGATGCTTCATGGTCTCTCCTATTACCTTGAGGAAGAAGGTGAAAGTGGACAAGGGGCAATGGGCACAAACTGAGGCACAGGAAGTTCCGTCTGAACATGAGGAAGAACTTCTTCCCTCTGAGGGTGACGGAGCCCTGGCCCAGGCTGCCCAGGGAGGCTGTGGAGTCTCCTTCTCTGGAGATATTCCAGCCCCGCCTGGACAAGGTCCTGTGCAGCCTGCTCTGGGTGACCCTGCTTGGGCAGGGGGGTTGGACTAGATGACCCACAGAGGTCCCTTCCAACCCCTGCTATTCTGTGATTCTGTGATTCTTCCTTAGTCTCTACAGGCATCTTCTGTGCTCAACGAGAATGCAGCCATCGCTGAGTGATTCAGTAGGTTTCATCGTCTCTGCACTCCATGCACGTGGCAGCAGTTATCAAAAGGAATTCACGCTCTGCCTGAATCTGTTGCCTTAAATTTTCTTGGTGGCTTTTTGTTACCTGGCTTCCACCATCGCTGCAGGTTTCTGATGAGGTTAGGTCACCTGGCTTCTCTTTCATCCCGCTGTGGCCTTTTCTTGCTGTAAAGCTGAAACAGAGCTAGCAGGAGGTGTTACCTACTGTGGTATCTCTTTCTTTGTTATGTAATCACGCTCATAAAGTTTCTTTGACAGTTTTTATGTTAGTTACTGGATTTATTTAGGATAAGATGTGCTTTGTGTAGTATTTTCATCAACTTCACTGCCATCAAATTGTGCCTCAGTAAATTAAACTTAAAGGTGGGGGAATATGAAAGGAAGAAAAATACTCGTGAAGAAGAAAAGTGAGGAGGAGTCAATGTTAACAACGCTTTATGTTGCTGAATCTTTGCTTGTGCTTTCTGCAATTTACGCTGTCTCAGTAACGGCACAAACTGTTCCATGTGTACACTGATTACTATACTTGTACTGTGTCAGCGGTGGAAGAAATCAAATTCTTTTTTTCTTGCCTTTTTGTTTTTGTCGTTGAAGTGTTGGCCTCAGAGTGGTATCTCTAATTGAAGGTAGGCAGTGAACTAGGTGGTGAGTTAAAGTATTTGAAGTTAGATAGCACAGAAGGCACACAGCTGTGGGAAATGAAAGGATCCCCAGTTTCCTGTTGACAAGCCCAGCCATCCTGCAGTTCAGCTAATTAGTGGCTGTATCACAAGTACTGACAGGTTCTGAATTCACAGGTTTGTAAATGACAGGGATGAAGATGGGCTTCCTTTGGGTCATCAGTGTTCAACACCTGCTTGATAATTATTCCATTTATGGAACATCCATCCAATTTCCTTGCAGTAAATGGAGTTGCTGGGGTGAGAGCTGAGATTCAAAGACAGTGCTGTAAGGCAGTGAGCAACGCATATCCCACTGCAGGATTTCAGGTGAAGAACTGCATTTGCCTGTAAAAACGCTGCAGTCTGTCAAGGAGTGAGTGTAGTGAGAATAACTGCACTGAGAAAATAAGAAAGTACTGATTAATATGTGAAAGAAGCAGTGGGTACTTTATCTCATGTTCTGCTCAATTATTTTTAAATCTGTCATCATACGGGTTCTCCTTGCTGGGACTTGTATTTACTCTCTGATATTGCTGACACCCTTTCATCGTTGGCTCAAAACCTGCGGTGTTGTACAGGCTTTATGGGTAGTTGGTCACACGTTTCGTGTTGATTCTTGGCACAAACTGTCTTGAGGGTACAGACATAAGGAGGAATTGGAAGAAGGATTTATTATCCTGTAGTGGTAGTTTTCCATCCCTTAAGCAGTGTATCGCCTTCAGCTCAGTGAGTGATGGGTCCCGGGGTGTCCCTTTGGGCTTGTTTATGTTTTTGTCTCCAAGTATCATCAGTTACAAGGTACCAACATTGAGTATTACCTCCCAGTGGGTGTTCAGTGTTAATTTTGGAGAGTGAAAAGAATACGAGATTGCCCATCTGCAAGAGGATCAGGATCTTGGGAAGAGGTCAGAAAGCGTGGGAGTTACGGTGCCTTGCAGTTCTAGGGTGTGCAGAAGTCGGGTAAAGTGGAAGGGTGTGGGGCATTTGAGCTTCTGAGGACAGAGTGAGCTTAAAAATATAAAATACAACGAGCGTCTTTTGGAAGCCAAGGTATTGAAATAATTGTCACCCTGATTTTGAAATCAGGCTCCTGCCTAGTGAAATTAAATCATAAAAAAATGGAATTTAAGATTTTTAATTCCTCAGACAAAATAACTGAATTCAGTTATACCGAGTATAAAATTTATTATTTTGAAATACTGAGTGTGGACGGAGCTATTATGGTACAGGGAAGCATCATGTTGTTTTCAACTAGTGATTCTCATCAATATACTGCCCAAACAGCTTGTATGTGGAAATTTTCTGTGTTTATTCTTGTTCTTCATCGTCTCCTGTATGTCGTGCTGTTGTTGTAGACGTGACCTAATCAGCCTAATACATAATAATACATTATTTGGAGCGGAATTTCCGTTATCAATAGGTTGTAACTTGGATTTCACAGTGGAAGTGGACAAGACCCTTGCTTGTAACCAGATTTTCTGTACTTCCTTGTGCATATTTGTTCCAGTTCCTGTAATACCAATTCCTTGTGTGGAGTCAGCTGGGCGCTCAGAGTCCTACAGGGAAATTGAAGAGACAGGAACACAACTCAGCTTTCTTGCCCAGCTTCTAATTAGCAAATAAATGGCAAAAGTGATCTGAGGCCTCACCTTTGTTTGGGACAGACTGTTCATAGCTTCTTGCAAGGGTAGTACCTGCTGTTGAGCACCCTAAGCACTTCTCCACTTGCAGTCACGGAGTGGGGTTGTGGGTGTTGGTGTGAGGAAGCCTTAAGGGCACTGTGTCCAGTTCTGGGCTCCCCAGTTCAAGAAAGATGAAGAGCTACTGGAGAGAGTCCAGCGGAGGGCTACGAGGATGGTGAGGGGACTGGAGCATCTGTCCTGTGAGGAGAGGTTGAGGGAGCTGGGCTTGTTCAGCCTGGAGAAGAGAAGGCTG